CACAGAATTGTTACTGGGGGGAACGGGAATTGTTACTCAGGGACCCCAAAATTTGGGTTACTTAATTGACACGAATTGTTCCCAGGACAAAGAATTGTTACTCAGGGAAACAAAACTTTTTATCAGGGACACAGAATTTTTTACTAAGGGACACAGAATTGTTTTTAAAATTGACACAAAATTTTTAAATCAGGGACACAGAATTTTTACTGGGGACACAGAACTTTTTACTCGGGGGACACAGAATTTTTTACTCGGGACGGGACACAGAATTGTTACGGGGGGGGAACAAAAAACTTTTTAACTGAGGGACACAGAATTTTTTACTGGGGGAAAACAGAATTGTTACTCGGGGACAGACCCCAAAAAATTTGTTACTGAGGGACACAGAATTGTTACGAGGGAAAACCGAATTGTTACTCAGGGACACAGAATTTTTACTCAGGGCCCAGAATTGTTTCTCTAGGGCCCAAAGAATCTTTAAATCAGGGACACAAAAATCTTTTAAAATTAAAAAAAGTATGTCAGACAACACGCAGGGGTGGCAGGGGAGGCAATTTTTCAGGGGGCGAGCGGGACGTGGCAGCAGGGGAAAGGGGTTTTTTTCCGGAGGCAAAACCCTAGCCCGCAGCCGGGGGCCAGTGTTTCCCGGGTGTATCCAGGGGGTGGTCCCCCCGAAACCCCTTTCCCGGTTCATCGTTTGGGGTTGGTTTCGGTGTTTTTCCTCTTCCCAGGTCCCCCTTAAACCCCTACACCAAGGGTCGGGGGGTTACGTCAGACAAAAACCGTTATTTGGGCATGGCCCGGGAGCAAGCCCACGAAATCACGTGTCCTCTACCCCCCCTTTGCCCTTTTGGTGTTCCCTCCCCAAAAGCGAAGTATCTTTTTGCTGGGGGTTTCAGCCCCACTGTACATTGAGGAAGAAAACGAGGGCGGTCGGAACGGGGGGAGAAAACCGCCTTTCGCAGCCAGGCGAAGAATTTATGGCGAGGAGAGTGGCTCAGGGAACGACACAGAATTGTTACTGGGGACCAGAATAGTTATGAGGGACACAGCATGTTACTGAGGACACAGAATTGTATAATGAGGGACACAAGAACTGTTACTCAGGGACACAGAACTGTTACTCAGGGACACAGCAAACTGGATTCTCAGGGAACAGAAAACTGTTCCTCAGGATACAGAACTGTTACTCGGGACACAGAACTGTTTATCAGGGACAGACACCGAATTGTTACTGGAGGGAGCACCAGCTCCACTGCTGTGTTGGGTCCATTTTGTCCATGAGGGGTGCTGAGCAAGATTACGGGCACTCCCATTGCTGCTGCCCAGGCCCCTAGATCTGCCATGGGCCCCTGTACCACCTCCTCATGCTGACTGCCAGGGTCCAGAATGTACTCATCGGGTCCAGGGTCGTACGGCCTTCATCCCATTGCTTGCTTGTCTCCATCGCCACACTCTGCCACATTGTGCAATTACTCAGGTCTCCTCACACTGCTGTGTGGGTTCACATTTTGTCATAGGGTGCACAGAAGATTACGGGCCTTCCACATGCTGCCTGCCAGGCCCGTAACTCACTGCCATGGGCCCCCTTACCGCCTCCTCACGCTGCAGCCAGGTCCAGAGTGTGTCATGGGTCCCTGTACGGCCTCCCATTGCTGCTGTCTCCATCGCCACACACTTTGCCATGTGACACAGCACTTTCAGATCTCCTCACACTGCTGTTTGGGTTCCATTTTGTCATAGGGTGCTGGCAGATTACGGAGGTCCTCCCATAGCTGCTGCCAGGGCCCCTAATCTGCCTTGGGCCCCTGTACCGCCTCCTCATGCTGCTATGCCAGGTCCAGAGGTGTTGTCATGGGGTCCCTGTACGGGGGGGGCCTCCCATTGCTGCTGTCTCCATCGCCACACTCTGCCATGTGCCACTTTCAGGTCTCCTCACACTGCTGGTGGGTTCCATTTTGTCATAGGGTGCTGGCAGATTACGGGCCTCCCATTGCTGCTGCCAGGCCCGTAATCTGCCATGGGCCCCCGTACCGCCTCCTCACGCTGCTGCCAGGTTCCAGAGTGTGTCATGGGTCCCTGTACGGCCTCCCATTGCTGCTGTCTCCATCGCCACACTCTGCCATGTGCCACTTTCAGGTCTCCTCACACTGCTGGTGGGTTCCATTTTGTCATAGGGTGCTGGCAGATTACGGGCCCTCACATTGCTGCTGCCTCCCCAGGACCCGTAGTTCTGCCATGGGCCATCGCCACACTGTACCGACTCCTCATGCTGCTGCCAGGTCCAGATTGTGTCATGGGTCCCTGTGTTCCGGCCTCCCATGTGCTGCTGCACTCTCCATCTGCTGCTGTCTCCATCGCCACACTCTGCCATGTGCCACTTTCAGGTCTCCTCACACTGCTGGTGGGTTCCATTTTGTCATAGGTGCTGGCAGATTACGGGCCTCCCATTGCTGCTGGCCAGGCCCCTAATCTGCATGGGCCCCTGTACCGCCTCCTCACGCTGCTGCCAGGTCCAGAGTGTGTCCATGGGTCCCTGTACGGCCTCCCATTGCTGCTGTCTCCATCGCCACACTCTGCCATGTGCCACTTTCAGGTCTCCTCACACTGCTGCTGGGTTCCATTTTTGTCATAGGGTGCTGGCAGATTACGGGCCTCCATTGCTGCGGCCAGGCCCCTAATCTGCCATGGGCCCCTGTACCGATCTCTCATGCTGTGACGTTGCAACAAGGTGGAATTCAACCCTACATTATGTTAGACCGCCTTCACGAACAGCGAAAGGCCATCACCGATTTCCGTCCCCTGTTACAAGCGGATAAAGGTACTCCCCTGTGTAACTTAGATGTCAGCCATTGGCAGCTCATGCGTGACACCTGCCGCTTGCTCAGGCCTTTGTGGAGGCCACGCTATTCGTGAGTCGGCAGGACTATTGGGAATGAACGAACGTCATTCCTCTTGTTGCACGTCCTGGAACAAATGCTGTTAACAATGGCTGGTCAGGGTGCGGAACTAGACGTGGCGCACAGATCTCAAACATGACCCCTGTGGGGGCAGGACAGGAAGAAGAGGAGGAGGTAGAGGAGGACATTTGGTGCTCAGGAATTATTGAGTGAAATGGGTGGTTTTCCACTCAGCGGACAGGAGTGGAGGAGCAGGAGCATCTGTAGAGAGGAGAGGAGGAGGAGACAGAGGACCCAGACGCACCGTGGCAGTATGCTGTGGAGATGGAGGCAGGGAGTCCCTCGCATTCCTTGCACAAATGGCCCCATAGCATGCTCGGTTGCTTGCGTAGCGACAGCCGAAATAATAACCATCAGACAGAGGGATGACTTTTTGGCTGTCCACCTTGTTGGACCCTCGCTACCGTTCAAAAATGGTGGCCTTTTTCACACCTGCTGAGAGGGAGGCCAAAATAACGTACTATAAAAACCACCTATGTAGTCAGTTGGTCTCTGCTTCTGCGCCAACGTCCATCCTCAGACACTGTGGGCCCTGTGCGCTCGCGCTCCGCTGCCATGGCAGCAGGGGAGGGGTGGGGTGGTAGGAGCAGTGGCAGCTCCACCAGCAGCGGCTGCCTCAGTCTGCAGTCGATGATGAGTAGCTTTCTTCACCAGCGCAGTGAGGAAACTACTAACCAGCCAGCCAGCAGCAGCAGCAGCATCAGGTGGACCTGGAGCAGGAACTCAAACAACAGGCTTGGGCCTACTTGGACAGCACCCTGCCAACCGAGGTAGACAATCCCCTTGACTACTGGGCAACGAAACTTGACCTTTGGCCCCAACTAGCTGAATTTGCCCTTGAAAGGCTGTCATGCCCGGCCAGTAGCGTGGCATCGGAGCGCGTGTTTAGTGCGGCAGGAGGTATTGTAACTCCGCGGAGGACACGACTGTCCACCCAAAGTGTGGAGAGACTCACGTTTGTGAAAATGAATCAGGCGTGGATTAGTCTGGATTTCAAACCACCAGTTCCTGACACAACTGACTGACTAAATCCGCCATGAATCATGCCCCAAACATGTGCCACTTTCAGGTCTCCTCACACTGCTGGTGGGTTCCATTTTGTCATAGGGTGCTGGCAGATTACGGGCCTCCCATTGCTGCTGCCAGGCCCCTAATCTGCCATGGGCCCCTGTACCGCCTCCTCACGCTGCTGCCAGGTCCACAGTGTGTCATGGGTCCCTGTACGGCTTCCCATTGCTGCTGTCTCCATCGCCACACTCTGCCATGTGCCACTTTCAGGTGTCCTCACACTGCTGCTGGGTTCCATTTTGTGATAGGGTGCTGGCAGATTACGGGCCTCACATTGCTGCTGCCAGGCCTCTTATCTGCCATGGGCCCCTGTACCGCCTCCTCACGCTGCTGCCAGGTCCACAGTGTGTCATGGGTCCCTGTACGGCCTCCCATTGCTGCTGTCTCCATCGCCACACTCTGCCATGTGCCACTTTCAGGTGTCCTCACACTGCTGCTGGGTTCCATTTTGTGATAGGGTGCTGGCAGATTACGGTCCTCACATTGCTGCGGCCAGGCCCCCAATCTGCCATGGGCCCCTGTACCGCCTCCTCACGCTGCTGCCAGGTCCACAGTGTGTCATGGGTCCCTGTACGGCCTCCCATTGCTGCTGTCTCCATCGCCACACTCTGCCATGTGCCACTTTCAGGTCTCCTCACACTGCTGCTGGGTTCCATTTTGTGATAGGATGCTGGCAGATTACGGGCCTCACATTGCTGCGGCCAGGCCCCTAATCTGCCATGGGCCCCTGTACCGCCTCCTCATGCTGCTGCCAGGTTCACAGTGTGTCATGGGTCCCTGTACGGCCTCCCATTGCTGCTGTCTCCATCGCCACACTCTGCCATGTGCCACTTTCAGGTCTCCTCACACTGCTGCTGAGTTCCATTTTGTCATAGGGTGCTGTATGGCCTCCCATTGCTGCTGCCTCCACTGCCACACTGTGGCTCCACACTCTGGTTTTGGCCCCGTGACTGCCCAAATGAATGAAGTGTGCGGTGATTCTAAGATCGACGGCACTCATCTGCATGTCATACTGACTGACAGTATTATTTCTCTTCCCCAGCAGACTCCAAGGGCATTTAAATTAAAGGTACAGTGTTCTGCACTAATATAAAGGCTCTCTGAAGCCTAGAAACACCCTTTTATAAGTTAAATTCGCAGCGAATATATTCGACTCGAATCGATTTTTTTTTCACGAATTCGCCGAATCAGTCGAATCGAATTTTTGAATACTTCGCTCATCTCTATATAAGATGAATACATTCGCTAATTTCTCCCCATAGGCAATATAACCAATAATAATGACAATAGTCTGTGTTTTACAGAATTTCAACAGTTATTCCCCTGCAGAAGGAATAAACATCAAACTACACAAAACTGTATATCAATATGGCCCGAGGAAAAAAAAATAATAATATTGACACTAACCAATATACCCATAGACAATATAACTAATAACGAATGATCAGACAATAGTTTTACAGAATTTCAATGGTTATTCCCCTGCAGAAGTACTAAGAGTCAAATTACGCACAACTGTACACCAATATGGCCCGAGGAAAAAAAACATAATATTGACACTAAAACTAAAACATACAAATTTGGGTGGTTATGGTATTGTGAGGAGCACAGTTCGGTTACAACAACAAAAATGACAATAGGCTTATCAATCTAGTCAAGCAGAATCACCAAAATATAAATTATAATTACCCTCCAAGTATCAAGTAAACCAAAGATGGCTGCCGATTGATGGGAGGAGTTAAGCTCTCACAAAATGGTGTCTAGACAGCCTGGAAATGTGTACCCTGTGTGTAAATATATATGCAGTCTCTTGGATGGTCAGATGGGTCTGATGGATGGCTGTGATCCCCCTGTCTACTTGACTTTCTCTTTTATCTACTGGCACACAATACATTCATAAAATTGGAATAAACCAAGAATGTGGCCCGGAAGGCTTTATCTTCTTATTGGTGAATTGGTCTAATAATCCACACAATGTTTGTTTTTGTATTACCACCCTTTCGCCACTGAGTGTCACTCTAAGATAAGTCCTGACTATTTTGAGTCTACATGAAACTGAAGTAACTAATTTGTTATAGGAAAAGATTAATATGTCGCTACAACAAATTGGACTTTGTGACAATCGTATAAATGTCTTGGAGGGTAGATCCAGTATATTATTCCTAATTTCTAATGTAAAACTAACAGAAAAGAGCTGTAGTTTTATTAATTTTTTTCCAAAAAATTACTTTATTCATTTAAAGAAAAAAGAAGCATAACAAAGCATATACAACTTTGGGTCGCATTCCAAACATAGACACAGCACGTTACCTCCCGTTTCGCAGACGGGCCATGGGTTTAAATTGCAATACAGATCAAGATGGCATATAACTGTCAGGAATGGACTCAGCACTGGTGGTGGGACTCACCTGCCGTGTGGGCTGCAGTACCAGGGCTGACCAGCGGGTGCTCTCAGCAGCCAGAAGCTCACTCCTGCAATCAGCCAACACCTGGGGCTGGAGGTGTATTTAAGGAATGGCCAGACCTGCAGTCAGGGCCTTGGTGTATGTTTCCCATGAGCCCCCTGTACCGTGTATCCTGTGTTCCTGTTCTGCTGACTATCTGATTTGTTGCCGACCCTGCCTGATCCTGACCTCTGCTGACTTCTCCTGCTTGATCCCTGGCTTGCCTGATCATCCTTCTGCCTGATCCTCTGTACCGCTCTGACCGTGAGTTACTGAACCTGGCTTGTGACCCTGACTATTCTCTGCCTGCTCCTCCGGTACCTCGCTGCCCGCACGTTGCTGACCTGGCCTGCCTGACGCTACCCAGACGATCCATCCATCCCGCACGGATCTGTCCCTGTTACCAGGTCTGCCAGCCTCTTCACGTCAGGTTTTCCCCCGGTACATACCCTTGGCAGACCCCTCTACCACAGTTGGGTGCACTCAGGGGCCGCGACCTGGTCTCAGTCCTGCGCCAAGTCCATCCCCACCATCAGGGGCTCTGGTGAAAAGGCAGACTGGGGCTTAGACTCCGCGCCCTGGGGAATCCCATTCTGTGGGTACTAGAGATCCCGCCGGGTGGTGCCTGACAGTACCTAACGGCCTGCCTGACCATTCCACCTCTCCAGCCCTGACTACGCCTGTGTTCCCACACATTTCTGGTCATACCCGGATCCTTAACAATAACATTATATCAAGTGTATATAGCACACCAGCAGATATAAAGATAATAATAGATATGTCAAAATAGATATATTGTATGTTGACCAGTACATTAGTGAGCTCTTGTGGTAAGGGAGTGTGGAGTGTGGGATGAGGACAGCACATGATCGTGTGTATGTTGTGTTTTGTGTGTCCATATCAGGACCTTTTTTTTACATGAAATTAGTCACCCCCTTATGGAGGTAAATGCTCTATTTTGTTGGGGATATATAAATGATAAGGGCACATAAAAGGTGGGAGACAAAGAGAATTCAGAAAAGAGAATAGATATAGAAAGAAAGATATGTAGGGTGATGTAAAGGGGGGGGGGAGAAGAAGAAAAAAAAAAGGAGGGGAGGTAGAGGATGGGTAAAGGGGATGTAGAATGGGTAATTGCGGATAAAATAGATCACATCATTCTGTACAAGTCAGGCCAAGAAGGATAGTCTTATAGATTAAGATGCAGTACGTGCAAAATCAGTCAACGGGGTAACACGTGGGCCAAAAAACCTGGAAGGCAGGTTACAATGCAGAGCCACAGCCCATCCAAATGTGCATCAGGTGCTCCCCAGTATATCAATGTGTCCAGTCATTCAGTCAGGGGGTGCAGGTTGTTCAAGTGCTAGTAAGTGGTAAGTAGAAGTGGTTTTGAAATGACTCCAACAGGCCCATGTCTTCCTGAATCTCTCGGGGTGTTTCTTAGCTACACAGAAATCAGTTCCTACATTTTTTCAATTTTGTTGGTCCTAGCATTCCCGGATAGTGGGAACATGTGTTGAGCGCTAATGGACTGGGATACATTGTTTTGCAGCGTTTACCATATGCATGGCGAGTGATTTACGGTACGTCCGAAATGGAAGTGTGCAGTGGTGAAGCAAGAATTGTGTGGGGAGAAGTCTAGGGTATACGTAGTTACTTGTGCGATTGTAGATTGGACTTTCCCCCAGAAAGACTGCAGCAACGGGCAGTCCCACCAAATATGCAAGAGTATACCCGTCGCTTGGTGACATCTCCAACACGTATCTGAGATATTGGGGTCAAATTGGTGAAGCAGGGATGGAACTCTGTACCATCTAGAGTATAGTTTAAAGTTGTTTTCTTGTGTGGAGACACATATGGACCCTTTGTGTATGTGTTCATAAATGTGATCCCAGTCTTCCGGGGATAGTTGGAGTTGTAAGTCAAAGCTCCAGGCCTTGCAAGCTTTCTGAAACGGGAGGTCAACAGTGTTTTCGAGGCAAGTGTAAAGCTTGGATATAACATGTCTCTGGGGAGAGTCTGTTGAGCAAAGTTTTTTAAATGGAGTAAGTTGTCTAGTATATTCTTTTAGATGTGAGGAGCTATGTATAAAGTGGTGGAGCTGTCTATACATCTAAGGCGTCAAGGTCAGGGATGGCCATTTATTCAGAATGAGGTCTCTGGATAAGAACGTCCCGTCTTTGAAAAGTTGATGCAAACTCAAACTGTCTGTGGGGCTAGAGCAGCAATGGGCAAACTACGGCCCGCGGGCCGTATACGGCCCGGCGGACCTTTTAATCCGGCCCGCGGAGCTAGGCTCCCGCTAGGCTCCTCTCACAGTCTGCCCGTGTAGCATGAAAATCTGTCTCCTATGAGGATCTGTCCCCCTCGACGTATCTGCGCATGTGCCGGAGATCGCCGATCGGCTGCTAATGCCTGAAACTGGCACATGCGCAGATACGTCGAGGGGGACAGATCCTCATTGGAGACAGATTTTCATGCTACACCGGAACAGCGCGGGAACACGGCGAGAGGAACGCGCGGAGCAAAGGTAAGTGAATTGACACAGGGGGGACTTGGGGACTTAATATGGGGAATAAATTACTATATGGGGGATGAATTACTATGGGGGATGAATTACTATGGGGGATGAATTACTATAGGGGGGGATGAATTACTATGGGGGATGAATTACTATAGGGGGGATGAATTACTATGGGGGATGAATTACTATAGGGGGGATGAATTACTATGGGGGATGAATTACTATATGGGGGGATGAATTACTATATGGGGGGATGAATTACTATAGGGGGGATGAATTACTATGGGGGATGAATTACTATATGGGGGATGAATTACTATAGGGGGGATGAATTACTATATGGGGGATGAATTACTATATGGGGGATGAATTAATATGGGGGATGAATTACTATATGGGGATGAATTACTATAGGGGGGATGAATTACTATATGGGGGATGAATTACTATGGGGGATGAATTACTATAGGGGGGATGAATTACTATGGGGGATGAATTACTATATGGGGGATGAATTACTATGGGGGATGAATTACTATAGGGGGGATGAATTACTATAGGGGGGATGAATTACTATAGGGGGGGGTGAATTACTATGGGGGATGAATTACTATGGGGGATGAATTACTATATGGGGGATGAATTACTATGGGGGATGAATTACTATATGGGGGATGAATTACTATAGGGGGGATGAATTACTATGGGGGATGAATTACTATATGGGGGATGAATTACTATATGGGGGATGAATTAATATGGGGAATGAATTACTATGGGGGATGAATTACTATAGGGGGGATGAATTACTATATGGGGGATGAATTACTATGGGGGGTGAATTACTATAGGGGGGATGAATTACTATGGGGGATGAATTACTATATGGGGGATGAATTACTATGGGGGATGAATTACTATATGGGGGATGAATTACTATATGGG